GGGCGGGTCGAAAAAATATAGAAATATTTAGGGCGAAGGCCTAAACATACCGGCCCCCTTGCGGCAAGCAACATCCAAAATTTATGCAGCAACTACCAGATCAACTATTAACATGTCCAAACAAAATATTATAAAAATTCATAAAAAATATGTTTCTCTGGTTTCGTTGGAGAGGAGCCAGATTCCTCGTTCGTCGTCCCGCATCGTTTCACTTGCATTCTCCTCGAATCTAAGTTGCTGCTTGAGGGAAAGAGATGTCAAATATAAGAGTAAAGATACGTGGACATTTTCAAGTGCACTTTTATTAAGAAGAAAGATTCATAAAAAATAAACTTCAAAAAATTCATATGTAGAAATTCATTCAATCAGAACAGTTATAAATATAAATGTATCGTTTATGTTTATGCTCTGGTAACGCCAGAGAGTACCCATCCGAAGATGGTGCTCTGAGCTAGCAGAGGCCCAAAGGAAGTTGGAAGTATACCCGGCAGGATTACGTCGGCGTAAACGTCAATGCCAAGGACTAGGCGAATGGGAGTCGAACTGTAGAAGTGTGGGTCGGCCAACCGAATGTGCTGGTATGCTGTGGCGACGGCAGGATCTACGTTGCTGGCTGGCGATACGCGGTGGTAGTTCCTTTTAACCGTCGCGTGGGTCGCAATACGTTTATTGTCGCCGTGCTTTCCTCGAAGGCATAAGACGCAACCCGTTTGATTTCCGACCCGTGTCTGTTCCAGCCTCAACTCCCGAGCTAGGTCCGCTGAGATTATCGTTGTGGCGCAGCAACTATCGATGAGAGCGCGGACTAGATGAAGGCGCCCCATCGCCTCGACTTTTACCACTGCTGTCGGCGCAATAGCAATCATAGGGCTCAATGTTGGACCCGCGATAGCATGTTGTCCCAGGAGCCCGTTGCGGAACATGTTGGATGTGGCTACCTTGCGGAACCTAGGAGCAAGCCTATTGTCGTTCTGTCGACGCAGGCGGAAAGGCCTAGCTTCCACTCCGCGCCGTCGCTGAATTCTGCGTGGTGATCCAAGACGCCGTGTGTGCGCGCGGTCTTCTAAGTTGTCGCGTTCATGTTGGAGCAGGGGTCGAAAAGACCTGGTTTCCGATCCCCCATTCATGGCCGGGCGAAGAGGCCTAGTCTCCGCTCCGGACCCACATAAGTCGCTCTGTTCATTTTCTGGACGAAGAGGCCTAGTCTCCGTTCCAGAGTCAGAGGCGCAAATGGAAATCGCACAATCAGCGTTTTCTTCTTCCTCTACTTGAACGCTCCACGGCTTGCTGGTTTCATTCTCTGACCTCCATGAGTCTCTAAGTTCATCGATATGGAGGGTAGAATGGTGCTTCTCGTTGCATTGACGGCATCTCGCCTCGCTACTACAATTGTCGGTTTTGTGGTCCATAGAAAGACAGTTGCCGCAGAAGTGTCCTAGCAGCGCCTCCCGTAGCCTCTCTTCTGGTGTCTTGGCACGATAAATTGGGCACAGACGAATTGGGTGTTTCCCTTCACACAATCGGCACGCCAAACCAAAACGTTGAGGGTTCTGTATGGCCTTCTGTTTTAGTGTGCTGAAGCGACCCATTTTTTCCTGAAATATGTCCTGCTTTAATTTTGTTTTTCAACTTGTTCGCAGTTGATTACCTTTTTTTATTGTTGGGTGGCGAGTGAATAAGATAGGAATTATTTAAGCATTTGTCATAAAAAAATCGTTTGTTAATTGCAACAAGATTGGTCAGTCTGAACGTGGCATTATTTTCTATCAATTGCCCTTCTCCAACTAACGCGTGTAAATATGGCTTAATCCAAGTTTGCAACCCACGAAAATGACAAGTGGATCGCAAACATGTCATACACTCCATTGTGCAGGGATGCATGGGCAGGGTAAAATTTTATCACACCGAAAATTGTAAATTGCATTTATGGTGTTTGGAAGTGCCAATATTAAGTGCTCTTATGAAAAAGATCCTTTCCGTTAATGACTTGATCTACTAATATTCGTAATTAGCAATTCAACTTCATTGCATGGAGTTGTCGACAACGTATTAATCTACACTCGGAGAGTTTTTTAGCCATTCTCGCAACCCTACAACTAGCCTGCCACCCCACCAAAAAGTTCGGATGCCACTGTAGGTGATACTCGGCTAAAAACAGGGTAGCTCATATGCAGCAGAATTCATAAGTTGAATTTCAAATTTTATTACAAAATGTCTTATTTCCTTTTGAATTTTATATAAAAATATGAGAAATAACTACAAAAAGTTAGTGCATTGATATTTCCTCATGACACTGCCTCTTTGAGTGTGTAAAATGTATTTATGTTAGCAAAGCTAACGATTAAGAATGATTGATCGAATGGTGCGATGGTATGCATCAACATATGTTTTTTTCCATTTGTGGAACGTATGTATATGGGAATTTATACAACCGTACTAGGACGTCACTACGTTCTGATATGGGTTTAGTACGTTTTAGAAAAGTGTTTAATCTACTCCTCTAGTTCGTTTTATTAAAAAATCTACTCTATAATAAAGTTTTGATTCATGTCAATATTTAGGTATGAATGACGATGATCTTACTGAAAATGAGTCACTACATTGACAATATTTAAATATTCTGTCTATATATGTATGTATAAATAAATTAAAATTGGAAAGAGCTGATTACTGTTTAAGTTAAGTTTATTACTTGGATCATTATGTGAAATATTCCAATTTTGTGATATTGCGAATGTGAAAAATGATGAAACCCGGCTACTACGAAAATTGGTTTTTACTCCAATTGTTAGAGTGGTGCGTACTAAATAATTTCGGAAGTCCAAGCCCTGTTTCACAAATGACATTGAAGAAAAACTCATTCACTTCATTGGAAGAATGGGAAGGAAATTGCATTCATGCACGAGGGATTACGCAATCGCAGGTAAGGTTGTAAAAAAATAGTAAATCTAACTTGTAATTTTACTAAATATTTTTTTTTTTACAGGTACAGGCCGATGATTTTGTTTCTAGCAACATTTGCGAAAAGTGAGTGAGCGAAAGCCAGAACGAAGTCATACCCTACAATGATTGCCTCTACAAGAATCACTATCTATACAAGTACATCGCGTTGCTGGACATCGACGAGGTCATCATGCCGAAGGGCAACTTTGTGCTCTGGTCGGAGCTGATGGAGAAGGTGGTTCCCGAGTCGCTGCAAATCAAACCGGAGGGCTACAACAGCTACAATTTTCGGAACGTCTACCTCCTCGATGACCAACAGCACGAGCATGGCTGGCACAAGGACATACCCATGGCTGGCATGCATATGCTGCAGCACGTGCACCGCGCCAAAAACTACACCAAGCCCAACCAGTACGTCAAATGTTTCCATGTCCCAGAGCGCGTGCTCACGCTGCACAATCACTTTCCGCTCGCCTGCCTCGGTGGTGTCTGCAAATCCTACCCGGTAAATACGACCGATGCGCAGCTGCAGCACTATCGCGCCGATTGCGTGAATACGTTGAAGAAAAGCTGTGAGGAGTACCGCGAGAACTCGGTCGAAGACAAGACGATCTGGAAGTACAAGGACGAGCTGATACGACGCACTTTCCGCACGCTCGACACGCTGGGCTTCTTTAAGCGGCCGCTCGGCTACAGCAACGGCGGCATTGGCTCGACGACGCATGCCAGTGAGCGGTGATTTCTGGGCAGTTGGTGGGCGGGCGACAGCAATAGCTGGTTGGAAGGCGGCGGTAGTGGTAGTGGCGCGGGCTATGCGGCAGATTATTACGAGCGCGAGCGCTGGCGAGAGACGGCAGTGGGCAGCAATGAGTTTTCCTGATAATTCTGAGCGGAATTTTGAAGCGAACGACAGGTAAACTATGAATGACATGAACTCGTTTACTATTTTTTTTCGTGTTCGTGAGCGTGCTTGAACAAGTTTTTAGCGCAAAAGCCTCCCGCAACTGCGCGAGCGAGCGAAACTCCACTACGAAAACGATTTTCCCCTCAACTAGTTTCAAGGCATCAGCCTCTAAACCCTCGACCTACAAAGCAGCCTATTATAAAATAATAAAAAAAAATAAAATCTATAGGGCTGTTCAGGATGTTGTGCAAATGGTCTTGAATTTGCATTTGCAAATTTTATGCCTGTCACCAAGGCAACCGTTTGCATTCTATTGTTGTGAATTTACAAATACCTAAATATGCAAATGCCAGATCCTGAACAGCCTTCTGAAGACAATGCATTGCTATTTTAGAGCAAAGCGTTGGGTATTTTTTTTTTTTTTTTGAGATTTAAACGCTAAGAACTCATGTTCATATATTTGGTAATGAGTATGCGAAAAGTGTTGGCAGCATTTATTCGATTTCCATACGTTTTGGTTAAGTATAGATGAGAAGCAAAAAACTCTTCAAACGCATTTAGATTGTATTGAAATAAAATCAGATATTGATGCCATTGAAGCGGAAGAATTCCCAGGACCTAATTTAAAACACTCCCATTGAGTCCAAAAGTATTGAGTTGTGCGAGCCGGAAATCTGCATGCCCGTGTTACACCCTACTGTGTTCGCAGATGGGCTAGAATCTGAAGCAACTTCCTCGGACGAAGATGTTCCTCTAACCGAATTAATGACATCCGAAACTAAAGCCTATAAAAGCACTAAAAGAAATCCAAAAAAGATTGGAAAAAGACGAAATTGCGAGTAGAATAAACGTGACGACTGCTATTCTCTTTGAGTCGTCTTTAAATGCCGAACAAAAAGTAATTAGGTAGAAAAACCGAAGTACCCATGGTTACCAGCACCTGCCAAATACGTTGCCAAATATATTTGGTCTAAAAATATTAGATTGAATTTTTCTACATTTCTATGAATACACCGTGCTAAGTTTAAATATATTGAGAAGGCTGGCAACAGTGTGTCAAGCAAAAATTTTATAAATCAATTTCTTGTGTATGCAATTAGTGTTTCACGTTTGATATAAGCTTACTTGTAAATACAGTGTACATATACATATGAGCACACAAAATCGGAACAGCGGCGGCGGTCGCAACCAAAAGAAGTCAAATTCTGGCAGCGGTGGGGGCGGAGGTGGTGATTCTGCTTTACAGACGTCAAATAAAAAAACAGATGTCTCTAAGACAGAAAAAGAAAAATCTCACCCAAAGCCAACTGCTGAACAATTGCGCATTGCCCAGATCACCAATAGCAATACATCAGAGGATCCGCAAATGCGCGAAAAAGACACCACTTAAAGATTTCAAAGAATTGAAGAAGCATTTTCGTTTGAAACACAATTGTGAGGGATGTGTTCCTTGTTGCAATAATCGATATCGGACACGAGCATTATACACTATTTTCGAAATTGCGTTTTTCACGGATTTTGGTAGGATGCATTAAAATACACCTTCAATAAAAATTTCATGGTGTGAGTACCAGTCGGGTTTGCGGGTCCCCATTCCAGCTGATGTTTCTTTTCGGGGCAGTATCCTGGTCTTCTTTTGGATTCCCTCATCATCCTTGTCGGAAATTTCGTTGGTCTGGTAACCAAGTTTTTATGTTTTGTTTTTTATGTTTTTAACCTTTTTTTTATAACTAATTGATTTGTGTTTTTTTGTATAAAGGGTTCCGAAAAGAAACAAATAATGTGGATACCTCGACCACCGCGGGAAGTTATTCTACAATTTTTCCTCCATCTAACCGCAGTGGACCCTGAATTATGTGAGTTTTTCAAATATTATAATGACTGCTAATTTTTACTTGAAAAAAAATTTTACCTTTTAAACTTCGGGTGGGGTATTTGCTTCAACTGCAATTTTAATTGTGAATTCAGATCTGAGGATGGTCGTTTTTGTGTAACCAGATCAACCCGGGGTAACCCGAGTAAGAACCATCACCATAAATACAAAAAAAAAACAGAAAAGATACTCCTTTTTTATAAAATTATGGCAAGTTAGGGATTTTTTTTTATGGCAAGTTAGGGGTGGAATCCCTCCGATTACCTGGAAGTGGAATGCTGTGGTAAAAGGAAGTGGAATAAGCTATAGGTGAAGAAGGCAATTTATAGGGTGATTGTTGGCTCCGAGTTTCCATCGCTGTATGGTGGGAGTAGAACCAATTTCACTAGTGGTCTGGTAACTTGACCTTTCTCCGTCAGGATGTCCACTACGCGCACTCTGCCATCGGTACCGGGGTGTAAGTTGACAACTCGCCCCAACCTCCATTCAGTTGGGGGTAGATTGTCTTCCCTGATAACTACAAGATCACCTGTTTTCATATTCTCCTTGGGGTGCTTCCATTTAATTCGCTTTTGTAGTTCGGCTAGGTACTCCACTTTCCATCGCCTGCAAAACGTCTGATGCAGTGCTTTTAGTTTTTGCCATCGATTGACGATGGAGGCAGGGTTCTCATTCACATCAGGTTCTGGCGGAGCCATAAGATGTCCACCCGTGAGAAAATGGCCTGGAGTAAGCGGCTCCAGGTCATTTGGCTCATTTGAAGAGGGACTCAGTGGTCGCGAATTAAGGCACGCCTCAATCCGGCACAAAAGCGTACTGAGCTCTTCAAAGGTGTATATGTGAGCGGATGCCACCTTTTTAAAGTGGCTTTTAAAGCTTTTTACACCTGCTTCCCACAGTCCTCCCATGTGAGGGGCTGCAGCGGGTATAAAATGCCACGTAAGTATTTGGTGGTTATATTTTGAAATCGTTTTGTCTCGCGCGTCAGACAAAAAGGCTTTGAATTCAGATCGTAAAGATCGCGAAGCGCCGAGAAAATTTGTACCATTGTCGGAATAGATATTCTTCGGGCATCCTCTTCTAGCCACGAACCGAGCAAAAGTTGCTAGAAAGGATGGGGTACTAAGGTCACTGGTGGCTTCTAAATGAATCGCTTTAGTGGTGAAACAAACAAATAGGCAAACATAGCCTTTGGAAATTCGACAACCTCTACCACGGTAACTTTTAATTTCAAAAGGTCCCGTGAAGTCTACTCCCGTATTCGTGAACGCGCGCGTAAATGTTGTGCGTTCCTGAGGAAGAGTTCCCATAATTTGCGTCTGAGATCGTTTCTTGTAGATGGTACAAATTTTACAATTGTGGATGGTAGACCTAATCATGTTTTTTACCCTGGGAATCCAGTACTGGGTACGGATAAGGCGTAACATGAGCTGATTTTCTCCGTGTAAGGAGACTTGGTGAATCATCAGGACGATAAGACGGGACAATCTGCAGTTATACGGAATAATGATTGGATGGCGCTCATTATAAGCTAAGTCCTGGGATGCTCCGAGGCGACCTCCAGCCCTGATGATGTCGTGCTTGTCGACGAACGGATTAAGCGGAAGGATTTCGCTCTTTGCATCGATGGGTTTTCTAGTTTTCAAATTCCTATATTCTTCACCGTAGTGTTGCTTCTGGTTGATTTTTATCAAGAGATGTGTCGTCGTCTTAATTTCTTCTGATGAAATTAAACAAGAAGTTTCCTGAAATGAAGCTTTTGTTTTCGGGTGAGTTCTTCGGTAGAATCTCATGACGTATGATAACACTCTCAAAGCTCTCGGTAGATCTGAAAATCGGTCAAGAATATCGATATTGTTTTCTTTTGTTGATGCATAAGCGTGCGCTCTTTTTTTCTTCAACTTCTGTGTGATAGGTAATTTCTTGAGCGGGCCACTTAGAGTTGTCTTCTTGCAACCAAGAAGGTCCCTGCCACCACAAAAAATTGGTCACCAACTCTGACGCAGGCAATCCTCTGCTAGCCAAGTCGGCTGGATTAGAAGCCGAGTCTACATGTAACCAGTCCTTGTTACCGACCTTTTCTACTATTTTCGTAATTCGGTGTGCGACGAAAGTTGACCAAGAACAAGGCGGCTTCCGTATCCATGCGAGTACGATGGTCGTATCTGTCCAAAGATATGTTTTAACTTGCCCTAGGTTGAGGTTGTTGATTACGGATTCTATGATTTCCGCGAGCAGTACGGCTCCGCAAAGCTCTAGTCGTGGTAGCGATATTGTTTTGACAGGAGCTACTTTGGTTTTTGCCAAAAGAAGATTGACCAAAACTTTGTCATCTCTTTTGACGCGCATGTATGCAGTAGCTGCATATGCTTTTTCCGATGCGTCGCAGAAACCATGTATCTCGATGTCATCTCCTGGTGCGAAGTGTACCCATCGAGGTATTCTAATATTGTCTATTTCATGGTAATGTTTGGTGAAATTCTGCCATCGTTCCATAGTAGTAGAAGACACAGTCTCATCCCAGTCTGTGCCTTCTAGCCAAATACTTTGCATAATTATTTTGGCCACGACGACTATTGGAGCAAGCCATCCTAGCGGATCAAATAGCTTGGCGATAGCTGATAGTATCGCCCTTTTTGTAAGTGTCTCGCGATCCTCCAATGGTCTTGCCATGAAATAGAATAGATCGGTATGGGCATTCCATCTTATGCCAAGAGCCTTAACCGTGCTGGTGTCTTCGAATGCCAAAAAGTCTTCACTGAGTAAATCCGTTTTTGGGATGTCCTTTAGAATTTCCGCACAGTTTGAGGTCCATTTCCTCAGCGGAAAACCGGCTGACCGTAGTACTTCAGAGATTTCATCTCTTGCTTTTACGGTAGAATCGATGCTATGTCCTCCAGCTAGCACGTCATCCACATACATGCATTTCCGTAGTATGTTAGATGCTATTGGGGAAGAGCTTTCTACATCGTCAGCCAGTTGTAGAAGTGTCCTTATCGCGAGGTAAGGAGCACAATTAATCCCGAAAGTGACAGTCTTTAATTCGTATAGACTTACAGGTTCGTTCGGGTTTGTACGGAAAACTATCCGCTGATATTTGGTATGGTTGCTATCCACCCAAACTTGCCGATACATCTTCTCGATGTCACTATTAAAAACGTATCTGTATAACCTCCAGCGGAGTATAAGGATCGGAAGATCTGCTTGGAGAACTGGACCTGGGAGAAGTACATCGTTCAGACTTGTGCCATTAGCCGTTGGACTTGAGGCATTAAAGACGACTCGAACTTTGGTGGAGGTACTTTCTGCCTTTATAACAGCGTGGTGAGGTAG